ATTAATTTTATTGTGGTAGTGGCTAACTCGAAAGCTTTTACTTCATCACACTTTCCTCTTACAGGGGTGTATCTAGGATTTTTGAAAGGGGGTTGGAGAGAAGGGTCCATACTGTGTCAAGCAAAGGGTATTCACCAGTTTTCGCCACCTGAATATTAGAGGTTGTTAAAGGCGGGTCATGGCTAAGGACCCCCCGCCTCCCGGTTAGCTCAATTAGTTAGAGCACCGGATTGTGTTGTGCGGGAGGTCGAGGGTTCGAGCGCTGGCCGGACCAATACTCATGGTCTGAGGAGAATTTGCTACCTTTCAATAATATCAAGAAATGGATAGATATTCTAGTCTTCTCGGATAAGGACGAATAAACCGTAGGGCCCGTCTCCTGCAGGGTTAGGGGTAGGAGACGTTAATTTTCCACGCACGAGATTCCTGTGTGATGGATATCCTCCCCCTGGGGTGGGATGGGCAGGAAGGTGAGATCGTTACATGGGATGAAGCGACTGCCAGAGGCGCCTGATAATGCTGACGTCCGATCTCAACCTTATCATTGTAACCAGACACGTCACTTCACTTTCACTTTTACTCCCGTCCCAACTACGCCCTTGTGTCATGGAAACATGAATAAACAACCAGACTCGTCGCTTGTCTGGGCCTCCTGTCAGTTAAACTGCCGGTTTCAAAGATGAGCTTTTGTTCAAGAGTTTTACGGCTTCCCGAGCTACCTAAGTGTAAGGAAAGATTGCCAATTGCAAATTTAGGAAACGCTGTCTCAGGGTAGGTGTGCGTTCCAATAGTTGTTTTAAAAAAAGATAAATGTAGGGTAAATTTTTCGAGGAAACAATAAAAATTAATTTCTCATTTAAAATTACTTACCTTGCATTTATGTGGTTTCTCCAACAGTCCCTTCGTCTCCAAAGACATAAAAAGAAAATTAGTTGTAATTAATTTGAACGAGCTTGCTAACAAACTTTAATTAGTTCGGGTGTCAACAGTTAAACAATGCTTAGTACTAAAAATGAAAACATTAAAATGAATATCAGCTTCATTTAATTCAAACGAAACCTTTTCGGTAGTCTCCTTCGCAGCTGTTGTTTTAGATCGTCACGCAACGGTCCCTCTCCCACAGGTTGGTGGTGAGCGTTGCGTGACGAGCCCAAACAACCGTCTGCGAAGGAGATTACCTATTTGTGGATCGGAGTATTAGACGGGGAACCAGTTGAGCTAATCAATTTTCACCTGAAAAAAAAAAAAAATTAATCAAAAAAAAGGAAAAGGGTTATACCTTGGTTCATTACACGGTTCCCTTTTGAAAATATTAAATGTGGAAACTTGCAATTGCTCTTTTCAGATTTTGTCTTCCAACACTCAACTTTGCCTCCTAGATGATCACTAAGTTTGGTATTTTTGAATGATACCTGCAGCATCAGTCTATGATGCAACCACCTACATTGTCAATTTGTGATGGTAGTACGTACGTGTTACAGATATTTGAAGCGATTTTTTTCCTGGAATTAAAGAAAAATTTATACTCGAAATTATATTTTACGCGAAAAGATACTTTACGATAGAGGAAATTAGGGCAAAAAAAGGTGCTAAAAGTAAAATGGAGGAAACTAATGCAACTCACAAGAGAATCTGCAGACATAAAAGGAAAAGTATTGTGTTGAAGTTTAATGTAAATAGAAACAATGTGCCTGCATGGAATTGTCCCTAAAAGGAAAGGTCAAGGAAAGGAAATCGTCTCCGATAGCTCTCAGGTTAAGGGTTCTCCGAAAACAGCAGCTCTGCTTTTCGCTTTTGTTGTCTGGTTGACAAAACTGTCTGATGTGCAGCGGGGAAAGGGGGTCGAATATCGGAAATTGACATTGCGGAAACCGTGATTAAGTCATTTTAGCAATGCACGAATAATAGAGCTATTAACTTAATTCTAGGGAACAATAATTATTTTAACTTAAATCTGATAATTTTCTTGAGTTAGGGAGTCGGGGGGAGAATTGGGGGAGGGGCTCATATGGTTTTCTGGGAACGAAAGGGGAATCACGCGAGGGGATCAGGTAATTTTCATCTTGACACAAAGGAAATCCTCACACCCCCCTCCCTTCCTATCCTTCCTCCCTCCAGGGTGAAAATAATAACCTGCCCATACGAAATTGATAGTGGGGCTCCCACGCGCGCTCCCACGCGCGCTCCCACGCGCGCTTCCCATACCCATGGAATATGGTCAACCTATTTTCGTTTGGTTGTCATGTGACTGACCTAGCGTACGTACGTGCCTTCAGATTGCACGGGTAGGGTAGTGGAGACTATCAAAACGAAGGGAGGGGCGTCTCAGGCGAGTCTCGGCAAATGCACATCTTTTATGTTATCATTAATATTACGAACTTGGGAGCTCCGCTTTTAGGCTTGGCTAAATCTATATATTATCTTCTTAACGAAGAAGAATTCAAGCATTTTTGGAGGCGGAAAAGGTTCATCATCACTTCAGTCAGTGCTGTCTGCAGAACTATCTGCACGTACACAGGGAGATTTTTTCAAAAAGAAAAATAAATTAATGGATATAATTAGAAGCTCCCAGTAATCTATTCTTTTCATCTGATCTCTTTAGTCATCGCCGACATGGATGAAGAAAACGTTTTCTAGCCCAACCTAGAGTTAAATCACAAGGAAGCGGAGGCAATGACTTACATATTATGTGGAAGTAAATTTTTCAGTGTCGCGAAAATCGAAATTCAACACAGCCCTATATTGAAGTTGATATAAACACAGTAAGGGATCAAAATTAATCTGTCATTACCCTTAACACCAGTATGTATATTCTCCATACTGTTCTCTATACATTTCCTACGGTGCTGACAAGGAGAATTTGTTAACAATCAGGAGTTTCTTCAGCAAGGGATCATTTCCTTTATTCTCGTGACCTTTATGTGTAATTCAGGAGTGATGGTGTGGGGAAAAATTAAATGCTAGTCTAACTTAAGGGTTGCAGCTATTAACGAGCAAATTTTGAGGTCATCTTCCTCTTGCCTCTTTGTTAAGTTTAGGGCCATAGATATACCCAATTGAAGAATATTCGGGCGCTAGGGTGCAGCACTTTAAAATTATCATAGCGGGAAGGCTACAGTAAATATAAAGTAGAGCGCGTGACATCTTTTTGGAGTGTGTAACTGCACGTTTATCTACCGCAATGTACACTTGGATTCACAAGAGAGCAAAACCATATGCTCGGTTGATGTTGTGTAATAGTACGGAACTTGTGCTTTGAATTGAGATTTTCTACCACGTCTGGAGCCCAAAAAGGAAAGGGCTCGCCCTCTGCCCTCTCTTTCCTTTTGACTGATACTCACCCCCTTTGTATAAATTATTTACTCTCCCCAGCCTTCCGCTGACCTAAAAAATCAAAGATGGCAGCTTCAAATACTGAGAAATCGCTTGCCAAAATTACGCGTGCTCTGCAGGCTACACAATAGCCCTGTCATGGCTTCAAAGTAAATACGGTCGATTTCCGTAAGTATGGGAAACTATGAAAACTTGTAAACTCGCTTGAACTTCTGAAGCATAACCAGGAGTCCCAAAATAAAAAACCGCAGCAGGAGGGCTAATTCTGTAATTTATTGCACACATAAATCTAAAATACTATAATACAGTGGCCAGTTTCTCTCCAAGCGAGATCTGAGCCTTGCAAAGGCCTGAGAGGTACACAATCATTAGCAAATCCTGAAATAAGAATGAAAAATAGTGTGTCAACATTGAATAAAATAGGGAGCTGCAAACGAATAGGTCAAATGTTGATTGTACATCTTTAAAACCTTACAGTTTAAAGTGCACCTACACCCAAAAAATTTTTTTCGCTTAACGAAGTAAGCTTATTTTTTTGAGTATTTCTGCGCAAAAATTTTTTTATTTGCTCAAATCTTCAATTTTCTATGCCCAGTCAAAATACGGAAAATCGGCCGCCATCTTGCCCCACGACCGAGTTTAAAGAAGAATGGCTCTAGCGGGTAATGTGACGTCAAATCGAGAACACGAAAGTCTGCATCTCACACATTTTCACTTGTTTGGGAAGATTGTCGTCGATATTGTCCGAAATATGCCGACTAGGTGTGTTGTATGAAGAATGTATGAAGCGCGATACCCTCTTGCAAATTTCGCACGTTGCTACATCCTTCTACAACACACTTAGTCGGCATATTTTCGGACAATTATCGACTACAACCTTCCCAAACAAGTGAAAATGTGTGAAATGCAGACTTTCGTGTTCTCGATTTGACGTCACATTACCCACTAGAGCCATTCCTCTTTAAACTCGGTCGTGGGGCAAGATGGCGGGCGATTTTCCGTATTTTGACTGGGCATAGAAAATTGAAGATTTGAGCAAATAAAAAAATTTTTGCGCAGAAACACTCAAAAAAATAAGCTTACTTCGTTGAGCGAAAAAAAATTTTTGGGTGTAGGTGCACTTTAAATATAAGGGGCAGATTCAATTAAATTCTTTAACAATCCTTAATCATCATCATCAAATTATCAGTGTCATCATCATCACTGCTACAGTGTAAACAATGATGATGATAATGGAATTTACATATACGATGCAGTTACAGCATACATTGCATAAACGGACCCAGATTTCGATAGCATAACATAATTATTCGAAGTCTTCCTGAGTGTGGTCTTTGTTTGTCATAGGCCACAACTAGAATCCAAAGGGGAAGTGGGGGGTTTGCAATAGCTCTCTTAATGGAAATTTGTGAGGGTAAAGTCCCTATGAGGCGTGGCATGGAATTAGTATTGAGATCTTTTCATCAGGACTCTGATTGGCAGAAAAGTATGTTGTGGGACTCATTAAGAATGACTAGATGTAAAGATAAAATGAATTTTCCTGCCATTTTCTTTAAGACTTGTGGTGGTTTTGCTTGGAGTTGATAAAGCGGAAATGTTTGTAAGGCCTCGCTAACATCGTCAAAGTACAAAAGCAAAGCCCCAAAACACTCACCAAAACATCGTCCACATAAGCCACCACAGTACCAAGCATTTCTAAAAGCCTTTCACTGGCACTAGAAGAACACAGAAGATAGATAATCCAAAGGCAAAAAACTACACCATGATAAACCAAAGTGATAAGCACATACTTCAGAGAGCATTCAGTAGAGCGGGACACAGTACAATGTCACTCTGAAAAGGTTGAATTAATTGGAAAGAAATCACTGAAAATAAGAAGGGATGTAATAAAATACAGTTCACTACATTTCTTTCTTTCTGTTTTCTCTCAATTCTGGGGCACAGGGGGGTGATGAAAGGAAAGTGAAGCACCCTACTCTTGCAGTTGCTCAAACTCCTCTATATAAAACATAAAACTTAAGCTTCATGTACAAGTATCTATGAGGTTTGGTAAAGGTTGTGAACTCGTCTCCGGTAGGTACGACAATTCCGGGGGCAAGTTGTCTCACCTCAACTGGTGAATTGTACCACCACGGCAGGTAGGGTAACCCTGGAAGATGGAACAATTAATTTTTCTCTCATGTAAACACCTTGTCTCGCCCACCCGAGACAAGAAAACTCGGACAGAAAAGTGCCTGTACACGCTATAACCAGAGCCTGTGCGTTGCAAATGTCGCATTTCATATAAACGCACCATAAAGTTGTCTGAGAGGGAAGGTTTTCTCGGGTACTGTGACCATAATTATATATGGGGCCTAAGTCTGTAATACAGACTAAAATATTGAAGACATACACTTAGGATTACTGAGTCTTCCACAAACCTGTTCACATGTTGCATGTCTGTTTGTGGACTAATGCTCTGTTTGGCTGCATGTTTTGTTCTCTGCAGCCAGTTAACTACAAAATTAATTACAAGGGGCAGATTCAATTAAATTCTTTAACAATCCTTAACCATCATCATCATCAAATAATTATCAGTGTCATCATCATCACTGCTACAGTGTAAACAATTATGATGATGATCATGGAATACATTTACAATGCAGCTACAGTACACATTGCATAATTGGCTGTCAATGATTCCACACTCTGGAAACCAGTACA